GTAATGGTATGCATATAAATACATTTTTATATCATTTTTCCCCTTCCAAATCTCAATATTAGGTCGTCACCTGGCCTCGTGGTGTCACTGAGAAAGAACAGCCAGAAGACTTGTATGAAAATTCGATGATCTTCACAATGTCAAGCACAGAGTTTGGGTAAAGAACGGCGCCTGCTCGGCCTTTCACGATGCCGCCGAAATCCGTAGCAACTTCTTCAACAGCTTCCTCGTCGAATCGAATCCGTGCGGCGACGTCGAGTTCCTGAAGCATCGTCTTCATATTTTTCTGCATGAGGATTTGCTGTTGTTGTTGGGGTAATGTCAACGATTTATAGTTGTTCCGCAGTGCTGTGTCGAGGGAGATATATATTGACGCGGATTTGCTGTTTTTGGATTTGAATTGCTGTATTTATGGACGAAAATGATCTCGAGAAAATATTGCATACGTGCGGAGTTCAATAAAATCACGTCGTATGGCGATGACAGGAAAAAAAATAAAATTTGTTCGATAGCATAAGGGAATATTTCTCTCATATTATTCAAGTGTTATTGTGTATTATTCACGTGTTATTATGTATTATTCAAGTGTTATTAATGTGTTATTGTGTTATTATTACACCGAAAATATTCCGAGAACACAACAACACCTAAATAACATACAATAACACCTGAATAACACGGAATAATACGGGGGGAATATTCTTCTGTGTTACCGGACCGATTTTTTTTTTTTTTCTGTACCTCTAGGTGACGTGATTTCATTGGACTTCTTACGTAACTCTACATGCGGAGTCCTGATGCAATAATTTTTCAGTGATCTCATATATAGAATAATAATATCTCATATCAAACCATTGAAAAAATTTAATTGGAAATGTATCTTAATCCATTGAATATACAAAACATAGTTATTTGTCTTCCAAATCTAAAGTGGTGTTCTAAAGAAAAAGAGAATATTATTTTTATTCAAAATGAGATGTGAGAAAAATGAAAATCAACACTTGGACTGTGTGGATCATGGCCTTATTTATACTTGAGTGTATATATTTTATTTTAGCCAATCATTATTAACAAAATAAATATTTGGCATTTGACTATATAAATTTTATACAAATATTAAGAGGTCTCATAAGTCAAATAATTAATCTTTATTTGATCACAATTTTAATCGGTTCAAGAAAATTAAGATGGGGCATAATATATGATTTTTATATATGGGATTCCATATAAAGTTTTCTTATAATCTTCCATTTGTGTCACATATATTACCAGGTAATTATGCATTATCAAATAATTTAAGAGCTCAAACATTGCTATTTTCTTAAGGTGTCATCTTTAGACAATCTAGTCCATTAATAATATTAATTAACTTGTAATTAATGATATATTAGTCACTATATTTTCTTGTAAAAGAAATCATCAAATATCACAAGTTTAATATAATCAACAATATAGTTTAAATATGAATAAGTAGCATAAAAAATTTATGTAAGGAGATCTTATATCATGGCTATTTTAACTAGTCATTTATCTTAACTCAAAAAACTATAAACACAGATATAAACATTTATGCAAAACTCTAATTGAAACTATGTAATTTTATTTCTGAGTTTTTAATAGATGAGATAATAATAAAAGTTTAATCTAATCATAAAATATGTTTGTAATAATTGAAAATAAAAAATTAACTCCTAATATGCTAGCATATCATCAAGAAAAGCCACACTCATACAAGCAACATGCACATGAAACACTTCATGTTGTTAACCTTTTGTACTTATACAATCATATGACACTAGAGAAATTTGAACTCTTTCTTTAAAAAGAAATTATGTCAATAAGATTTGATTTTAATGAAGTTTTGTTATTTATTGAATATAGCATAACAAATGTATAATCACAATTTATTTTCAATAACCTCTTTATACCATTAATAATATATTGTCTCTAGGTAAAATTCGATAGCCATGCTCTTTGATTTGATATCTCATAATAATTTATGAATTTTGCTTTCAATGTAGAGGAAGTTGTGAGTGATTGCTTGACTATTCTTCTAGAAAACAACTCCTTTAGTTAACACAAGAACATAGCCTAAAATGTATCTTCTACTATCAAAGTAACTAGCAAAATCTGAGCCGAATGCCCCATGATCTATAAATGATCTGGTCTCCAATATGTGAGTACAAAATCTTTCATTCCTTTTAAATATTGCATAACAATCTTTAATGATCCCTAATAGTCCATTTCTATGTTACTTAGATATCTATCTAGTATTCCAACAATGTACGCAATATTCAAATGAGTAAATATTTTAGCATACATAATACTACCTTCAACCTCGTGTGATGGGTCAAGAGTATATGCCCAAACAAGATCGGATCAAAATACTTAAAATACGACATTCGCGAAGAGAATCCCTACATAAGCCACATGTAATAACTGAGAAAAAAAAAAGAACATTTTTTATTCTGGGGTCAAGAGCACTCCCAAGTGGACGTATCTTACTTTATCATCTACATCTTGTGGGGTAACCAGAAATACTCTCGATAGAAGGGGTTTCTCTTATATTATCATGATCCTGGCAATTAGGTCCACAATGGGTGGTTATTTCGTATGGAAAAGTTCTGATGCTTCAAAGCTCGTGAAATTTCATCGGCCAAAGAGTGAATCTCTCACATCCCGAATAGATAGTTGCTCATCAGCATACGAAGCTTACAAAATAACTATACTCATTTTGATGGGGATGTCCCTATGCATCGGTAAGGGCAGAGGGCACGTGAGGGCAGAAGACAAATCATTGTATCTCAAACGGGATGCAACTTATCAGATTCAGAGTGTCAAAACAATTTCAATGAAGTCAAAGGAGCAAACATGACTCAATAAAGGTTGTCAAAGGAAGGGATTGGTCCTAAAAGGTAGAGGCGGCTAGTCGAAGTACCACAGACCCGTCATATTAAGCTACTAAAGCTCTAATTCTACCTAGTCGTGAAGGTATTTGTCCAACATTTTCAGAGACCCTCGGTCAGCAATCAATAAATTGCGTCGTCCACAGGGGATCTCAGTAATCTTAAAACCAAAGGAATGAAACTCTATCATATGACTATCGGCTGGAGCTCCAGAAGGTGAGACTTATATCTCTGAAGTGGCGAGGATGTCGTAGGAAATAAAAAGAGAAAGAGGTTCAGCTACATAGTTGTAAGCAATCCGAAAAAAAGGACTTACTCCCCGTCTGAGCCGGGAAGCCTTCTAACGCCCTAGGTGTACTAGACAACTATTTTTGTAAAAAGGTATGATAGGCCCGTCAGACTGGAGAAGCATAGGGGCTTCTCCTCGGGATATGCAAGTATGATGTAGTAATCTACTACAATCATATACGTGGAGGTCCTATTAAATATGACTGGGTTATAGCCATGCATTCAACTCTTTTTAAAACTGGCCCAAAGGCCATACAAAAATTAAATGACAAATTTTGAAAGTCTCAAATAATTTAATCCTAAAATTTTTACTATCATAATTTTTTATTAGGATTTTTAAGTAGAAAAATTATACTTTTTAGGGTCATTAGTGAGCCTAGATTATAACTTTTGTAATATACCATATGCACAAAAATAAACAATAAAAAACAATGCAAGCATGCATGAACTCAATAAAGAGTAAGACACTCAAAATATATAAAAGTGTCCAAAATGTCGTTGAGTCTGCAACATATGTTGAGAAAGCAGAAAAATTGGTTGAACTCCCCATATACATGTACTGTCTTAGGTCTATGCAAAAGAGATAGAAACGTCAGACTTAGTGTACGGAGCACAAGCTGCCGCTCATGGTCATGGTTCGATGTGTCATCTGCCTCAAAACTCATGCCCATACATTATTTCTGATACAAACTCAGCCTAATGGCTATATCAAATAAATTGAAAGAGAAAACAAAAGACGCCCTGCATAGAACAAGTGTTGGTCAGGAAAGCCATGTAATGCATAAAATAAGTCGTGGCTTATAATCGGGGGAACTAAACGACACTTGCAAGCAAAGGGATTAGAAATCATTACAGGCTCCCTCATAGTTGTACATGTGTGTGTGCAAATAAATAGGCATAGCTCCTTGCAGAAGAACGTCCTATTATACTATCATGTACATCAAACACATTAGCACACCAAAAAGCAAAAAGTGGCACATGGCCAACACAAGGAAAACCATAACAGAACAATAGCCCGAGGCGTTCATAAATACTACATAGAACCCTAAATACTAGCCTAGCACACCATCTAAAGATAAGTGCCCTAACCAGCATCTAAGTGCAGGGTAAGTCTATGGGCATGTATGAATTTGACGGCGTTGCCGCACAACCCCATCCTAAAAATTAAAGGGATCTAAAAGATGTCATTCATAATGGATCTAAAAGGTGTCACCCAGAACTGATTTTAAGATGGTCGGTCAAAGGCATGTAGCCAATTAAAGTCAGGTGATCGGCCGAAAGCAGGTGATCGTCAAGAGGGAGGCTTGCTGAAAGCACAACAAAATGAGTGGTATTTATGTAAATACATAAGTATATGAATATAGTAAATCTTCCTAGTCGGACAAAGACATACAACCGATCGAAGGCTGGTGGTTGGTTGGAGGTTGTCGAAGCAGCAGTCAGTCAGAGGTGGCTTGCCGGAAGCACAATGAATTGAGTGGTATTTATGTAAATACATAAATATAAGAATAGAGTGATATATATATGTAAATTCCCTTAGTTTGAGATGGGAGATTGAAGGCATGTGGCTAGTCAGTAGAAGTTGGTCAGTGGGAAACAGGTGGTCAGTCGGAAGCAGGTGGTCTGCCGGAAGGCATGAGCAACGATCGGTCGGAGGTCGGTTGCTGACTGGATCAATTTTTTTAAGGTGACTTCCAAACACCACTTAGCAATTTCCTGATGACGCTGAACAAGCTTCTTCGCTGCTAACCTGAGCATATGGTGAAAAGGTAAAGTTTCTAAGACCTAGTAGGGTTGCAGCTTCAAATACAAATCCTTCTGCAAATGCTTCAAGAACAGTGTTGCCTTAGGAGAGAGTTTCTTGGGGAACTTTTTCTATTGCATAGGACAAAACAAGGTCTACCAATTTGTTGTTGCTTGTTCTCGTCTCCCTTCTCATTCCTAACTTTAGCATCGTTAGGATAATGTGGCTTTTTGGATTATGCATCCGCTGATGGGTTGGGAAATATAAATGACCGGCTCTTCGGTTTCGACGGTTTAGAATCTTCAGCGACTGAATCATCTTCTTTAATGAGAGGCCGGCTGGAGATTTTTATTCCTTTAGCAACCTTCATGGTTTGGAAAAAAAACCATAGGTCGGTCTTCGTTGAATCTATGATGAAAAATTAAAGAGATTTTTGCAGGTCTATGTGGTAGAGACAATTTCTTGGAGATCGCCGACAACGGGGAATATATGAATTGAACTTGTTGTTGTGCAAGTTCCTCTTGCTCTTTGTTTTGAATGTCTCTCTTAATATTTTTTTCCTCAGCGTTACTCATCTTCTTTTTGATGACACAGTCCACGCTCACCGCACCAATGTTAAATCCAAATTTGTCGTCTAGACCATGCTCAAGGCATAGAGCATAAGGGCCGAGGGGGAGGAAGAGAGCAAAAGAGAGAATGAATTGACACAGCAATTGCGCCCAACGAAGTGAGGTGGGGGTGTTATCCAAATACTCAAACCCATTTTTTATATTGAAAAAAGTTGTTACAATAGAAAGAGAGTAATGCATAAATTCAGGAAAGCCCAAATGGCTCCCTCTACATAAAAAATCATCTTATTTATAGATCATAGGGGATATCTAGAAAATTACATGTTTGCCTATGAGAGTCACAAGTCTTTATTGCCCCTACTTTAATAAGGGGTTGTATGTTATTATTATCTTCATTGACACCTTTTAATATATATGACATATTTTCAGGTGTCTGACACCTTTTCATGTCTGGCATCTTTTCATGGTGGGTTAAATAAACATTAAATGGGTTAAAAAATCGAACTTGAACCCAACCCGCCTTTAACCCTGCAACACAAACCTTTAACCCAATACCACCTAGTTGGGTTGATTTCAAATCAAATTTGGGTTGATTTTGGGTCAATCATGAGTTGGCAGCTTGATTTCAACTCCCTCTTCTTTTTTAAGTTCAAATTCTCAGATTATGAAATTTACGGAGGCCTCTCAAATGAGTTAAATAGAAATGAGTTGATATTATAGGTGTATAAAGTTAATTTCAAAGGACATTGCCGTGATAGTGAAATGAGGACATGTAAATGCAAGTTTGGTGATCTAAAAAAAAAAATCAAAAAGAAATGTAGAGCAGAAGTAATTCAATGGAATCGAAAAATTTTACGAGTTATTTTATAAGATATAAAACAGAGATCACTTTTTTATTTTGAATTTAAAGTAAACTGAAATGAATGTAAAATTGATCATTGGTGGGTGATCAATGACAACAAAGCAATAAGCGGCCAGTGATGGCGACCAATCAGCAGTTAAGGCACCACATGGTCAAAGGCAGGAGCAAAGATAATAGGAAGCAGCATAGTTGTCGACTATGGTGACCAATAACAGTTGGAACAGAGAAATCAGCATGTAGCGGCAGCCATAGTCACATATACCAA